TTGATTCTTGAGCGATTTATTCTTAAATCGGACGACCCTTGACCGGTGTTCTTCTAAATCGTCTGTGCCTTGAGTGATTTATTGTCCGGATTATCACTTGGTTATTTCACATTCTCTAAATCAGACACCTCTTGTCCGATTTATCCTAATCCGGATAAGCCTTGAGCAGTTTAGAATTTGAACGATTTTTGACTTTGACTATAAATACTCGATTCAATTTTACATTTCACTTTTTACATTTACCATAAATCATTTATCACTGTTCATCATCGTCTCTGGTTGTAACTGTGTTGTTAAATCGCTTACTCGATCAAAATTATGTTTCTTCCCATTCTTAAAAGGTTTATATTCTATCATGATAATCTTGGACTGTGATTCTTGTTGGACTGTGATTATATTGAACCCTATTCCTTTGAATCTGAATCTATAATCTTTGGACTGTTAAAATCGATTGAACTTAAAATGAACCAAATCTAACAAATCGGTTATAATAAAACTAGTGTTATTAGGTTTTTTAGTTTTGACCGATTTAGTGTTTTAGGATTAGTTTAGGTTTAAATTTTTGTTAGTTTTGTTCGATTTACAGTTTTTGTGTTTTGACCGGATTTTTCATCGGAGAAGGTGACCGGAGTTTACTCCGATCAACCTTAATCCGGTTGATACTTGTCCGGTTTAGGTTTTGAGTTAGTATTTTTTTTCCTCTTGTTGACCGGATTTGTAATCCGGTTAATTATTATTATTTTTAAGTTTTTTCTTTTATTTTTTTTAGTTTTAGTTTTATTAAAAAAATTATATAAATTTTTTTTCTCTAGGATTTTTTCTTAATAATAATTTTTTTTAGAATTTTTTAGTTAGATTTTTTTTATAGTTAAAAAAAATTAGTAAATATTTTTTTTTTTTAGTTTTGTTAAATTTTTTTAGTCTTGAAATTTTTTTTAGTTTAGTTTTTAATTTTCTTTTCAAAAATTTTTACTTTGAATTAGAGAAATTCACTTTGTTTCATTAATTCGGGATCTAACTGTCTAGACATTTTACAGGTAAATGGCGGATCTACAACATCAGTTTGACGAGGAATCCCATATTCCTTCTGTCAGGTCTGATAATCTCAATAACCCTGCCCAACCTTTAAACAAACCCATACCCGAAGAATCTTTACTTCCACAAAGCCAGTATCTCGAAATCAAACCTAACAACCATTCCTTTAGCTTTGATATGCCTGTTGAATATCAAATAATCCCAGAAATCCTGCACGGACACCCACCAGACACCCAATTTCGTATTCCCTTTCTACCCATTCACATGTTCCCATGATATATCTACAGCAGTTCTGGAATACTCTTATATTGGCCAAAGACGGAGATACATTCTACTTCGAAGGAAGCGTAGACGAGTATGTTAATCGGTTAACGTTAAAACGACTACGAAGAATACTACGTCTTCCCGGACCGGGCTCGACAGGCTTTGAAACGCTTGTAACAGATGACGAACTGTCGTGACATTAAACGGTTAGGATACTCGCAAGAGTTGACTAACCCGTCTCAATTCAAACGGCGTTTCCTACCATCGATCTGGCATCACCTATTCTCAATCCTCAACAGATGCCTAACGTCAAAAACTGTGGGAATCGACACGTGCAGCAGTTCGTTCCTGAAGTTCTTCCATGGGATCGTATTTACGCGCAAGTATGATTATGCGCTCATAATATGGAATGAACTGGTCGAGCTCGTCAATGCTAAAAGATTTCCATCTAAAGCCAGAAAATTCGTGCCATTTCAACGGTTTCTGCAACTATTCATAAAAGCCATGATGAACTCAAACGAAGACACTTCGGCCAGAGCTAACAGTGAAATGGGGCTGTCGTTCGTCATGACTCGAATTCGGCAACATACCAAGGTTGAAGATTTGGACTCTATCATGGAAATTCCACCTGAGCTATTTGCCTTCGCTGATCAGAGGGCTCAGTGCGTAGTAGATTATAAACGAGTGATAGATCCTATAGTTCAGCCAAAACCGGTTGAACTTACCCCGGGATCACCCCATGCCTCAGCTAAGAGAAAGAGTATAGTTGTAGGTGAGAGTGTTCAGGAACAAGGGTTATCTGAATAGGGCTGTGCGTTGAGGGAAAATGTAATTGAGAGGGGTGATGAGGAGCGGGGAGCCTCTAATCAGCATAGTACTTCAACAGATAGTACTTCCTTGACTTCTTCAAGTTTGGAATATACAATATCCGACAACCAGGCAGCTCAGGGTGATGACAATGACAATGACAATGATGATAATGATGCTGACAACCCTGCTCAACCGATTCTTTCTCAGAATATTCAAATAGGAGCAGTGGTTGATAATATTGATGATATTTTTCCAGAGTTTGAAGCTCCACAGACTTGTCCAAGTATGCATTCTCTATCATTCAATGTTGATGATTTTGGAGCCAGGCTTGATGATTATGATCGCATGCTAGAAGATATATCAGATATTCCAGTAGAAGGAGGTGATGAGGGAGCTGAAGTTGAAAATTCTTAGAGGTTGAGTGCAAAGGAAGCAGAAAAATATGAAGAGTGTGAGAGTGGAGCACAAAATAAAGATCAATCTCCTTTTCTAGCTGAAACACATAGCCAGGCACCCACATCTGCTATCGACGTTCATCCGTTGAATGTTGGTATTGAAGAAGACATAGCTAGCCCACCTATGCACTTGCACACCCAACCCGACCACTCAACTGGTAATCAACAACCAATTGTTTCATTTCAACACGGGGATATAACACATACGCTATCTATTTCTCACTCGGAGAATGTAGATATTGAAACAAGTAGGTTGTTGCCCCAGCCTACAACTTCGATTCTGTGCACCTCGAGTTTAGAGCCGATACACTTAGGTACACAAGAGTTTCGAGCATCGGTTACTCCCATTGCGGTTCTTAGTGAACTCGCCGGAACGACCAGAGTGGTGTCTTTTGACCAACCACAAGGACCGTCGAAAGTCCTACCAGTGCTACCACTTTGCCAACACTGAACGTGGGCACAACAGTTTACTCAACTGGTAATCTAAGTGATCCAGAAGTGATATTACCAGACTTTGTGTCAAGGGAATATTTGGACGGCGCCCTAAAGGCTGTTCAAGACAACATGGAAGCTCAAATCTCAAGTCTCAAAAGGTTATGGAAGGGGAATGAGCAAGTAGAAGAAGATCAACTATCTGTGCCATCACCACCGCCTGTACCTGAGCCTCCGACGGTACAAGAGCAATCGGTGGATGAACTTAATTCCTTGTTATACGCTAAACTGATGTCATCCCAAAACCCTGATGCGGAAGATGCAGATTTGGTTGGGCTCCTTAGACAGCAAGTTGATGAAAACCCCACAGTTCGAGCCTCAAAGTTTTTGGCCTTTCAGGATGTGGTTGCTTCTAGCTTCTTCAAAGTTAGTAAGTTAATCACATCAAACACTCAAGTTCTTAAAAGTTTAATTGATGCTCTCTCCGAACAGGTATCTATTCTGGAAGAGACTTGCCGAGCTCAGACCACCTCACTCAAACGAAGGCATGATGATCCAAAAGATCCTGATCATCATGAGGGGGAGAGAAAAAGACAAAGGGTGGCTTAGTCGTCTGCTCGCACTCAAAGTGTTGAAAGAGAGCCATCTACTCAAGACGTTAACGTAGAAAGTTTTGTTTCTGAGTCTACAAGGGAAAGAACTACTGAGCCGATTATTGTGGAAGATGATGAAGTATTGGAGACAAATCCATCGATCGAGCCAATGGTTGAAAAGCCGGCGGACTTCACGGTAGGAACAAGGCTGTTATTGGATTTGTCGGCCAATGTTGGTTTTAATGATGTTTTTGCTACAGAACTAGGTGGAGAACAGGACTTCGGAGAAGATATTGATAACATTGACGAATCATCTGTGTTATATTTTGACTTTGAAGCTGACAACAATGAAGATGACCCAGTATTCCCATTTCAGGGTGATCATCAGACATTGCCTGAACCCTTCACTATAGTTGAAGCTGGTGCATCCGATACTCCTAGAGCGGCATTTGATCCGACCGAGATTTTTTCAAAGAATTATGTGCCGTTTGCAATTCATGCGAACTTTCCAAGCTATGATAGGGCAAGAATCAGAGCGCCTTATCTGGAAGACATTTATTTTGGCATCTTCCTCCGTCATCGCAAAGCTCTTAGTACGGATAAGATTCTTGGTATTCACAAAGAATCCAAAGACTACTGTCTGGAGTATAAGCACTTCCTCAAAGCCAAGCGTCTCCCGATCAACCAAGTTCGAACCAAACATCGAGTTGTGTCAATTAAACAAATTGATGCTTAAAGAACGGGGAATGGTGTTTGTCATTCAAGATCCAAAGATGTGGAAGAATTGACACCACCTGAGATGAGGTATTTAGGAATCTGGGTTTGCAAAAGATAAATGCCAAGAAGAACAAAAGGACAATCATTTCTTTGGCTTCAGTTTCTGTCAACCGATCCATGAAGATGGAGTCCAAAAAGAAAGCCTATATGAGAGCAATTGCAAAGCTAATGATGAACTTGATATGGACTTTTGAGTAATTCTCTACCAATGATAGCTATGAAATAGATACACTTCGTTAAAAAACCTAATCATCTGGGAATGGAATTGAGTTAGTCATAAGCTATATGACAAGAGATCCTAATATCAAGGATAAGGAAGATGAATGATGTTACAAGCATGACAAACGTGGTTACCATGCTCCTAACTATAGGGTTAACGTTCAGAAGCGAACAAAATACTCCAAATACTTGCAAAGCTAAATATAAAGGAAGATATCAAGGGAAGATGACGAGGAGAGATGGTGGTACTTCATCCTCCTCTTCTGATTCAAAGAAAGAAGACCAAGCTTACTTCTGCTTAATGGCTTCTAAACACAACACAACGTCATCTTCTAAGTCTTAAAAGCATGTAATCAGCTATTCAACTTTTCTTCATCTTCTATTTCTAACAAAGAGTGCTGACAAGCTCAGATAGAAATGTCACAAACTTGTGCAAGTTTATGGAGAAAATCCATAATGTAGACACTCAAAAAAAGTTGAACATCAAGTTTATGCAAACGATCCACAATCTTTCAACAAAGGTAAATATACACTATCCCAATCTAGGATGCATGATTTATATAACCAAAAGGAAGAGAAATCAGTGTAGCTTGGATTAAGAATCAAATTGATCCTTCAAGGGTTGTGGTACTGTGAATGAATTCAGCTTCTTTGATGACCAAATTCCCCTTGTTGGTAATCCTCTCCAGCTCCCTAATTTTCTTGGATAGCCCTGTTACTTGAGATATGCTTGACTGAATCAATTTGTTTCCCGTTTCAAGCGCCAGACATAGCTGCCACAACAACACATACTTGATAAACAACAGTCATAATTAATTCATCTAGGAAAGAGTTTTGTAATCATACCATAAAACTTTATTGGACATATGTCACCCATGACCCTTGTTTCAGGCCAAATGTTACATGTTCAGACATTTGTTACCAAGGATAAAAGGATAGAACATCAAGCAAAATGGCTTAATAACAAAGGGCAAATTGCATGAAAACAAAACATATCCAAGCCTGATTCCTATTAAATGTAACATACTTTCAAAACCTTCATTTTGTTACCTTAATTGTGAATCTCAAACATTTAGACCAACGTAGGGAAAGCGCACGAGACCTTTGGCAAATATATTTTTAGAAGGGAAACAATCACCAACTAGCGTGTCAAGTACAAGTTCAACCAAAAACGAGGTAGGAATAACCTCCATGCCCAAGTTGCAAGCAGCCAAAACAGAAGAATGATGCAATAAGCATGGATGCTTTATGAAACAAACACAACGGAAAACTAGAAACACCTTCCAACCGATCCAACAAGGTATCATCTGATACAAATAAATTGGAATTTGCAGTCCAAAACGACCGCCAAATGCATGTATTCACACCAAATCCACTTTCGGGCACTCAGTTTACACAATTTTCAATTCCCCACTACTTTACACACACCACTTATTTATACCCTGACAACTATTTACCCTCTCTGACTATCCAAATCTGTTACAATTTGTTGCAGTGTTTACAACTCCCAACTCACCATACAAAAAGACCACACTACCCTTTTCTTTTTCTAGAGTATGTAAAACGGATGCTCTTTGCAGCAATACCCGCCTGTCAAACATGCACCTTGTCCTCAAGGTGGAAACCGAGAAAAGCATTATTAATACTTTGGTAACTTCCCCATGACGCGTCAAATACAGGCAGCTCTGCCATTTGATCAGTCCTTCAAATACAGGCAGCCCTTGCCATTTAATCAGAGCTTCAAATACATCCTCTAGACACATGTGATTTGATCATTTTCATGTTTCTTTATTTGGTTATTATTACCTGACTCTTTCTCTCTCTCTCTCTCTCTCATAATGTGTAGATTTACATCAAAAACGAGAGATTGGACAAACATGACTAAACACTTCTCATTGAACCACATTTATAGCCTTCTCATATACACACACACATATATAGGGTCGGATTAACAGGAAAAGCGCAAAAATTGAAAAACTGAGGAACACCCTAATAACCATTCATGTGGACGGTATGCATATCTACATAGAAATAATTTGTAAGCAATTTGTCCGGTATGCACATGTGCATAACATGCACACATGCATAAAAACCAAGAAACAACTTCAATTACTTCCATGTCATTTGCATAACATACATATATATATATAGAGAGAGAGAGAGAGAGAGCGAGGAAGATCCAAACGAGAATAATAACTAAAGAGAATACAAAAAAAGGCCAAATCACGGGCAAAATCACATGTGATTTTACACTAACGGTCGACAAAAGGGTGTATGGGCAATATGGCCTGCGATCAGAGTCGCGGTCATATTGGCATGAATCACATGTGATTTTATACCTACGTTTAGTGTAAAATCACATGTGACTCAACTGTTTTCCTTATCCTCTTATTTAATTACTGTTCTCGTTTGAACCCGACTCTCTCTCTCTCTCTCTCTCTCTCTCTATATATATATATAGTTAAATTAAATGAGAACCACAAAAGGGTTATAAAACCCGTGAGAACCGGTTAAAAAAATTATTTTCATGCATGACTTTTTCTCATCAAATGTGATAGCATTACAAAAACGTCATGATTTAATCCATAGGTTTCAAGGATTAAGGGTTAAGACCGGTTCACATAATAAACACCATTTATTGGGTTAACAAAAGAACCAGCCCCTACATATATATACATATACATACATACATCTATAAATGTGTGTGTGTGTAATTCAAATGGATTCACTTACCTCAAGTGTATGAGCTGTCCATGAGTGAGATGTACCACCTAGTGCATCCTTCAAGCATTTGTAACTTTCCTACAAAAAAGATGCATACATCACATGGACATTTAAGCAAACGATATGAACAAGGAACAAAAGATTGAATTAAGCTAGAGAATACTATGGTTGTACTTCTCATGAAGAACGAGCATGAAGATTAAATAGATACAAGGTTCACATCATTCCAAACCAAGTAGAGCAAATCTATCCAATCAAATCCACGTAGACACTGAATAACCTCTAGAACAAAGAGACTCTCGGCGATTATTTCTAGTATGAAATGAGTCAATCATCCACTTTGGTATCATAATAGAGAAAAGGGAACTGGGTTGCTGTATGATGTTAGGGTGTATAAATTAAATTTATCAACCACATAAACTACAATAGTAAAATATATATTAAGGGTGCTTCTTTTTCAGGTTGAAAAACATATAGAGTTATGATGCGTGATGCAAGCATGGTGCAGGCAAAAAAGGGATATATATCGTGCACCATTTCATAAACCAAGAAACAGAATATAAATAAGAATTAAACATAAAATGTTGATCACGTTCTATAATACATGCTAATTTAGTGCCAAAAAATTATGAAAATGGTCCAAGGTTCTAAATGACATGAGGCATGGCATGGTGGAGTGGTGGTGTGGTGATGTGGTCAATTTTGTAGAGCCACAACGAGGCCACAACATTTCCCAAGGTGTGGCTTACATATAAGCATATATGTTTTACAATTATTACTCAATGATAGATTCCTATATAAAGAAGAAAAGCCATATATATATATATATAGAGAGAGAGAGAGAGAGAGAGCTTATAAAAAGTTAAATATCAAGAGTTCATAACAAAAAAAGATGCTACTGGTGACAAAAAGAAAAAATTAAAAAAATGTTTTACCAATGGTAAAAAGTAAAAAGAAGGCAATTTTAATAATTAAAAACTCAAATAACGTTTTAAAGAAACACATGCCATAGCATGCCTCAAGATGCCATGGTGTACATTTAGTGTTACACAACCGCTATAGGGGTTAACGTGGCATCGAGACACGTCTTGATGCCACGGTGCTCCTTGGTGGCCTTTTAGATCCCTGATATGCTCATAGTAATCAACCATAGATTCTAGATTCAATGAGAAAACCATAGGTTGCTTAATCACCCATTAATTTATAACTCATCAGATGTATGTGTAGTGTTGTATGGGAAGAGATAAAAAAAGTGCACCACTCTGATTTTAGTTTTACAGCCAGCAGCAATAAAATAAACAGAAAAACAACGAAGATAAATCACAAAGCTGATTAAAGAAAAAGAGCCTACTTAAAATATAAGAGCATGTCATAATAACATTAGGAAGGGCAAGCTAAAACTTAAATGGCAATCTGATGTCAAGTTGGAATACAAGAAGACAAAATGAAAGACGAAGCAGCAGCTGAGAGTCTAAAATACCAGAAAAGCCAAGTTCACCTTATAACTTTACCCAAAAAAAGCCTTACCATATAACGCATGGCATGAATTTTCCTCAAAAAAAAATCACTGCTAGCTTTAGCACCATGATCACTATGTTCTGCACATAGTACAAAGTGAACAATAAAATCACGGTGGATTATTGGTTTCCTATAACTCAGTTCTGACTTACTCTATCATGACATGGTTCACAAGTCTTCTCAAAAATTGATCTTAAAAGTGAGTACCATCAAATTTGAATGCGAGAAGGGGATGAATGGAAAACCGCTCTTAAACAAGATACAGTTGGTAAGAATGTTGGTAAGAATGTTGGTAATGCCATTCGGGTTGTCTAATCATTTTTTAAAATCATGAGTTGGATATGTTGTAGTACACTCTGATGACATCCTAATATTTACTCAAAGTACGAAGGATCATTCGAGGAGTTAGTTTGATAAGCTTAGAAAGCAGACTGTATGCAAACTTGAAAGAGTGCAAATTTTGTCAAAATAGTGGTGTGTTTTGGATGTGTGGTGACAAACAATGGTACTGGGATCTACGAAGGAAAAGTTGAAATCATGACATGGACGGTACCCGCAAGCTTAGACAATAAAAGAGTTTCCATGGCCTTGTGTCTTTCTACAAGTTTGTAAGAAATTTAGCACTATAACAGCTCCTATTACCTGTTGTCTCAAAGGAGGGAAGTTCATATGGACCAATATAACTCAAGAAGCCTTTGAAACTATTAACTTGAAGATGACTCAATCTCCTCATCTGATTCTCGTTGATTTTCCTAAGTCTTTTGAAGTGGAGTGCGACGATAGTTTAGTAGGAATTGTTGTTGTGCTAAGCCAAGAAGAGAAGCCCACTGCATTTTTCAGCAAAAAACTGAACGAGGACAAACGCAACTACAACGCTTATGACAAGAAACGTATGCCATCTACCATGTCCTTAGCCATTATAACCTGTACTTATCATGCGAGCCTTTTCTCAAATTCACCAACTGACAACAAATGTTGAATAGAAGACATTTGGATTGAGTTTCTTCAATCTTGCAATTTCACACTCACTGGAATTCAAAATTGTAGTGACTAATGCTTTGAGTGGAAGACACACCTTTATCGTGTTCAATGGGTATTCAAGTCAATGGATTTAAAACAATGAAAGATTTGTATGTGCTAATTTGGAATTTGGAACCATTTGGTAAGAATGCAAACCAAGAGATTGGTGCATAATGGGTGTCTATTCAAAAGAAATGCGTTGTTTGTATTCCTCGATACTCATGGAGTTTTTTGTTGCCCTCCATATCAAGCCTACAAATTTTTGGTTCCTGTAGGACACCACTAGTTATCAACTAATCATATAGTTATTCAAGTGACTCCTTTTCAAGCTCTTTGTCGATATGCACCAACTAATAATGCAAGCATAAAATCCTCTTGGATTTTATACGATATTACACCCCCCCGGCAATCGAAGCAGGATAAGGGCGGAGGGATCAGACTAGAGTGGCACTCAAGAAATAAGGGGCGTGGAAGACCCTTATTGAAGATATCTGCATACTGAAAGGAATATGGTACATAAAGCAAACAGATATGGCCTAGAGCAACCTTGACGTGTACAAAATAGATGTCCATCTCCATGTGCTTGGTGTGTTGATGTTGCAACGATAGTCGATAGTCAGCACTAACATTGTTGTAGTAGACGATGGTCGTTTATTTCCGTTTTTACATCCCAAATTTGTCATTTGTTATCTTATTTCCCTTTTCTTATTTTATGAAGGTAATGTTGTCATTGATCTGAAATAAGGCTATTAGGTGCTGATTTTAAATTTTGGACAGATTGTTTGTTGCTACATTATTGCTGCAGCATTGTAAGGCTGCAGTTTGTGAAGATAAAAGACGATTGGATTGGATGGCAATGATGGTAGTCAACTTTTGCCGAGTGCCAACTCACAGCTGAAGACCGGAAGTCGGTACCAGATTTGTACATCATCTTTTGGAAGAAGTCTTGTCTACTTTTTAGAAGTTTATCCATTGGGTTATATCCCTTTTTGTTTTACCTTTTGTATTTCCCCTCTCGTTCTTGATATTTAAAGAGAGCTTGGAACTAAAATTAGGCACGATTTTGTTATCAGTAACACTCAAACTTGTGACTAGAAAGATTGTGAATATAAGTATTTATGGCGTTTACTCTCTTGCATTTGGTTATTATCTTTGCATTGTTGTAGCATTGCACACTACACATCAAATTATCGTCTTTAATGACTCTCGATTCTCTCTTTTTATTTCATTATGCGATCTTATTTAGTTATGGGTAGCTAAATCTTTTAGTTTGGGAGTAACACAAAGGTGAGATAACAAACCAAAGAAAGATGAACATTGTTTCTCAATAATAATGTTCCACCATTTCATTTGAGTTTATAAAAGAAAAAAGGCACTTCTTGACAAGTTGATCACTTGATAAAGTGTTAAAGTGTAGTGGTCTTAGAGAAAAGTCTCATAGAAAACATCAACTTCAATGACTTACTTGGTAAAGTGTCGAAGTGTAGTGTTAATAGACACTTGGGAACATGTCAACTTGAATGACTTGGGAAGTATACTTGAGAGAGTTACTTCAAACAAAGAGATTTATTGTTACACGTATTTTGAGGAAAGCATTGTACACTTCACTTAAGAGTTTTGTCTTGCATAGATATATGTAGATTTAAATAGCAGGTTCTGTGTACTTGTAAAAACTTGAGAAAGCATCCTTGAATTAGGTGGTGATAACTATGTTGTTAATACATTGTTGTAGCTTGCGGCAACAATTGTTTGCTATAATTTGTGTTCACATCTCATCCAAACTCTTGCACCCATGCTTCTATTATATCCTGTGAATCTTCAAAGCATCAGTAGCTGTTAAAACTCAAATCAAACAATTGCCTAGAATTCATCATCTAAATCACCTCTTTCATCAAACTTCTATTAAACTCTCACTCCCATCTCCGTGGACGATATTCGGTATTTTACCACTATAACTTGTAAAAATCGATATTTAACCATGTTGTATACTTGCCTTTGGTTTCCAATTATCCTATGTTTGAGGGTGCATAAACCTCCTAACAGTCATCTTCATGATAAGGCAATGAAGTTAAACAGACTACTAAGGCATGAAAGTTTTATGCATGTTATATATATGACCATAAATATTCAACATACATGATATAGAATGAAGGAACGTCTTGCAAACGAACCTTATGGGCCAGCCTTTATGGATTCGAGGGGTTAGCAAACCTCAAGGCAAGTATGGTATACTTACATGTGACAAGTGGGATCTAAAAGAATGTTTTATGCATGACAAGTGTTTTCTTGAAATTATTCAAGTATTATGAAAATCATGTATTCATGAAACCATTATGGACTTATTGCTCAGTTTCCTGGTCTTTAAAAGCATCCATTGTAGCAAACGAAGAAAAGTTATACCTAAGAAAGAAGGGTTGATGATCTCGCGAATTACTATAATTATTCATTAAGCTTAAAACTTACCTATTCCATGTATGTGTCTCAGGAAAGGTGTAAGGACCTCATGAAGTAGTTACTATTTTAACAGAATTCTGATATATTATAAACTGTTGAAAAAGTATTTTACGCATTTTCCTCTTATGAAGTTTTCCGCTTATGTTTTAACTCTGATGTAATATTAAGATATGAAAGAAATAAAGTTTTATTCAGTTTCTTTCATAAGACTTGTGTAAAGAACGTAATGACACCCATTTTAGAATTTGGGGCGTTACAGGTTGGTATCAGAGCATTAGTTTGAGTGATCTAAGTTTTGCCTTAGTTTAGGTGAACTTAGACCTAAACTTAAAAGAATATATATGTGTGTGTGTGTGTATATATATATATATATATATACCTTAAAGCATTCTATCACGATTACAGAAATTATCCGATAGAAACCCGATCCCCCACCAAACTCTCCTGAATGCGTTACCAATTAATCAAATAGATCCCTATGAAAATATCGACCCAATTATCAACATTTTCGATGACGAAGTTTCTGATGCTAACAATAACTTCATGCGTAAGTATCCATGGGAGGATGCAAACGGGCAAAAAGAAGAATTTGTGCCTCCGCCCCATATAGCACATCCTCCACCAAAACGAGTTACATCAAGCATAGTTGGAGAAAACCGTCCAGCTCGTGCAGGTTTGACTTGGGCAGATCTCGATGAACTTCTAAACAAGATGACGGAGAGTACATCAACAAAGAAATTATATCATGATCCTAGAAAAAGAATTGGAGGAAACAAGAAGATTAGAAGAAACCGCCCAACTCCTAAACCAAAGTCAAACTCAGATCAACCCTACAGGAAGAGCAGGAAGAACTGAGTTATCTCAACCATTTGCTTAACTGCACTAAACTCCCACAACGAGGGTGGAAAAGGAAATAGACTCCCTTTTTCCCTAGTGAAGCAACAATAGGATATATATATATATATATATATATAGAAGATATAAAGATATATTAGATAGATAAATGCAATAGAAAAAGAACAAGGGGAAAATTTTCTTTCCCCAAATTATGAAACACACACACATATATACATACACACTAAGAAGTTATTCCCATTTTCATATAAATTACTGTTATTATTGTAGAATGAATACTTGAAGAACGACTAGAAACAACGCACGAAGTACCATACCACCGAGACAAAGAAATGCATCTAGAACAAATCCAAACAACTCTACTGGAAGAGTTGATATAGCAACAGAAATTTCTCAAGGCATTCAAAAAAGTCTACCAGCTATAATAGCTCAAGTTCAAATGCCTATGAATCAGAGCTCGGTACATGAAGCAGCAGTAGAAAATCATACAAGGCATGAGCTTGATAATGATCGTACTCATTGATGCGACTATAAAGCATTCACAACTATAGGACCTTCTACGTTTGAAGGCAAAGGAGGACCATAGGAGCTATGAATTGGCTTGATGACATGGAAAGTTGTTTTCTAACATGCCAATGTGCCCTTAATCAACGAGTAAGGTTTGCTTCAACTACGTTAAAATTGAACGCTCTCCATTGGTGGAAAACTATTCATGCTAGTCGTGGCATCACAGAAGCAACGTTAATGCCATGGGGTGAATTTAAGAGTTTGGTCAATAACAGATATTGCCTAGATACTCGACTAAATATGATGGAGGAGGAATTTATGAAACTGCATCAGATGACCCTGGTAGAAAATATGGAACTCAAGATCCTAAATCTAGGAACAATTTCACTTGCCACTTTTGTGGTAAAGTAGTCAAGGGTGGTGTATATCGTTTAAAATGGCATTTTATTGGAGGTCTTTCGGCTGTTACTGGTTGTCCAAATTGTCCACAACATGTAAAAGAAGAAATAAAGTCTTATATGCAGAAAAAAGTAGAGAAGGTGGAGAATTTAATGAACTCAAGTTTGCATTCTGATGATTATGATCTTGGTGAAGAGGACAATGACTATGTTGAAATAGAAGGTGGTAGTAGTAAGGTGCCCCCACGAAAAAACCGAGACAAAAAGGTCCCTAGATAGGTTCTGCACTTCTAATCCTGAAAACGTGATCAAAGGTAAAAAAGATGGAAAAGAAGGATACAACAAACCATAAATGCGGTGGTTTGAAAGGAGTTGAGGGATAAAGCTTGTACGCAAATAGCAAGGTGGTTTTATGATGTCGGCATTCCTTTTAATGCCGCTACTTAGATAGCTTTAGCGTAATGATTGAAGCTATTGGCCAATTTGTCCCTAATGAAACCACCAAGCATGTATGAGCTAAGAGTCCCTTTACTCAACCAAGAAGTAAAAATCGTTGAAGAAGAAGTAAAAGAACATAAAAAGGAATGGGCCCAAAAAGGTTGCTCTATTTTATCGGATGGATGGCGTGATTCGGTTGTCCAAAAAGACATAATTAACTTTACGGTGAACTCTCCAAGGGGTTCTGTATTTGTGGAGTCTATGAATGTTTCCGATGTCTCTAAAGACGCAAATTTGTTGTTTGGGATTCTTGATAAAATGGTGGATGATGTTGGAGAAGAAAATGTAGTCCAAGTGATCACCGATAATGCATCCGCTTACGTTAAAGCGGGTAAGAGTTACTATTTTAGTCTATTCCTAATTATATATTAATAATATTATATATGTAATCATAATACTAATGAAGTTTAATAATACTATGTATTTTGTCACCTAATATTTTTATTTTAAACTTTAAAGGGAAGATGCTAGAAGCTACAAGAAAGCATCTTTATTGGACTCCATGTGCTGCCCATTGCATAGATCTTATGTTAGAGGATATCAGGAAACAAATTCCTCGGGTAAAAAGTTGTTTGAAGAAGGCAATGTTCGCTAATATCCACATATACAATTTTGTTGGTCTAGTGAACTTGATATGGAAGTTCACGAATCAAAGGAGCTTGCATAGGCCCGCAATCACAAGATTTGTTACATCGTTTATCACTCTTCTTCAATTTCACAAACAAAAGAATAACTTGAGAAAGATGGTTACTTCTCAAGAATGGATGGATAGCAAATGGTCAAGTGAACAGAAGGGAAAGATGTTGCACTCCTACATCTTACAATAGACATTTTGGAGGAATATTGTGTATGCTTTCAAGTTGACATGCCCTCTTGTTAGTGTTCTTAGGTTAGTTGACGCGAAAAGAAAGCCGGCCACGGGTTATATTTATGAAGCCATGGATAGGGCTAAGGAGCCTATTGCTAAAAGCTTTCCCAATCAAGAGGACCTTTACAAGAAAACTTTTGAAATAATTGATCATCGGTGGGAATGTCAACTCCATCAACCATTGCATGCCGCGGGCCATTACCTAAACCCGTCTACTTTTTATGATAATGCAAAAAGGGTTGTATGTTGTGAAGAAGTCATGGAAGGTTTACATTCTTGTATTGAAAGGTTGGCTCCAAGTCCTCAAGTAGAAGACCTAATCTTAAGAGAATTAGGCAAGTATCAAAATGCGGAAGGGCTATTTGGTAGAAATGCGGCTGTTAGGCAAAGGAAGACAATGACACCAGGTAATCATCTTAAATTGAAAATATATTTTTATACTTACAGACTATGGATATTTTACTTTTTAAATATTTGTTACTTATAGCGGAGTGGTGGACAACATTTGAATCTTCATCTCCCAACTTGCAAAAGTTTGCTATACAAGTTCTTAGTCTTACTTGTAGTGCTACAAGTTGCGAGAGAAATTGGGGTGTATTTCAACATGTAAGTGCCGTACATGACATTATAAATTCGTTATCTGATTTTAAATATATCAACTAATATCCAATTCAACTTTTGACAGCTTCACACCAAGAAGCGGAATAGGTTAGCACAAGAAAGATTGAATGACATGGTCTATGTGAAATTCAATCGTGCCTTGCAACGTCGATATAAAAGAGGGAAGTAGTGATCCTATCATTCTAGAAGACATAGATGAAAGTAATGAGTGGTTGATGCGGAGGATGGATAATGATGATGAAGATGATGATTTGGTGTTTATTGATGATGATCTTACGTGGGATGACGTAGGTATAGTTTCTGGGGCGTATGAGACTCCTCATTTCACTAGAGCATCAAGAGGGAGCCGGAGAGTAAATGATGATGGGTCGGGTCCATCAAGAACTAGAAATGCTAGAGGAAAAGGACATGCTCTTCAGGATGAAGATGATGAAGTTGAGGTGGAAGCAGATATTGGAGGGTTTGATAATGATGACGGAGATGAACCCGTGTTGGGGTTTGATGATGTTGATCTTGGGGAGTATTAGTTGGTCACTTGGTCATTTAGTTTAGGGATTGGGGACAATTATACATTTACTTGTGTTCTTCATGGTAGTAGTTTATGTGTTCTATTATTCTGATTCACGAATTTTTTAAGATTCTAATGCCACTTTTTGAACTACTTTATGTTATAAAAATGAAGTATTTTGATAGGTAAGTATTTTTAAGGTAGAAATTGATATGTAGAATTAATTTATATATATTTCTTGAATACTGGGCGCATCACGTACGTGATGCGAGCGCATCATCATCACGTATCACCATCGGCTTCCGGGACCCTTACCGCCTCGGACCGCATCGAGCTTTTTAAAACCAAGTTTAGAACTAGTCACAATAGTATTCACTTTGAAAATATGGAGACATTATTTATATGGTACGAAGTGCGTACTATATACAGATCATAAAAGTCTCAAGTATTTATTCAGCCAAAAAGAATTAAATATAAGGCAAAGGCGTTGGTGTGTGCATGATACAAAGGTGCACAAGCAGATAATGAAATCAAGTAACAGTCGTAATACAATTAGAAACTAACACACAGGACCTATTCGCCTTATCTTTACCCCTCTCAAAACCCTTGACGTCAGCCCCTACCAAATCCTACTACTAAAAATATCAGCCACTATAATATTGTACCTCCGTGAGCTCCTATCAAAGATCATGTCCATGGAAATGCCTAAAGCTGTCATATCCATCCTCAGTTGGTTACCCCACGTTCTCCTAGGCCTACCCCTCCTCACTCCTCACTGTTGTCTCCAATGAATATGGCCAAACCACCTCAATCTACCCTCTCTCAATTTATAAGTGATAGGCGTAACCCCTAGTTCCTACCGGAAAACTTCGTTTGGAATCCTATCTAGCATGTTTCGGCAACAAGTCCATCTCAACATCCTCATCTCCACAACTTACAATTTCTTACTTGCACCTTCTTTACCACACAATACTTGGAGCCATACAACATAGCTAGTCTTGATGGGCATTCAATATTATTTGCAATATATAATATACAAGGCTAGAGTTACAAGGACCATATCCTACATTTACATGATTTACTTGCTATTGATACATCCATAACTGTAGGTGTCGAAATCCTCTTGGATTTTACACGCTATCAATTCCCCCTCACATTCGCACCATTTCAATTGAGTCCCAAATTTCATGTCCCCTGCCTAGTGGAACAGAAAGATGGACAAAAGTAAGAAGACCCTAGAAACCTAATTCTGATCCACCTTTGGTATGTCATGCGTTGCATCGTGAAATAAACAAGATATCCAGTCACTAATTCATATAAAATGTTGCTTATTTATATAGTCTGCTAGAGTTAATAGTTCTTGGATCACATGACAAACTAACAAAGGGAAGCAGAAGAGATGCTGGGCAGTTCTAGATTTCAAATCGAAGCCCAAAATCTTTTTCTTATTACTTTTAATCACAAGCTATAACCACAATACATAGATAAATATAAAATATACTACACTAGCCAAAACAAAGAGCGGTAGAGAAACCTGATATAGTTTGGTGAGATCAGAAGATTGAATATGTTGATTCGTGAAATCAGCTGTTCCGAAAAAACTGGGACGGTGGCTATTATGAATAAACTCATTACTGGTCGTGGTGTCTTCTTCACCAACGTCACTTAGCAGATCGCCGATGCAAAGGAGCGGCCCTCCTACACCTCCTCCTCTCATCCCCTTTGCTTGCAAATGTCGGGTAAATTCAATACATTCATTTTGGATTTACTACGATTTTCGACCTTGTGGTTGGTTGAAAATTATCATTTTCATCCTTACGCTTTCGATATTACTACTTTTTGTGCCGGTGCTTTGTAGTTTGTTACGATTTTCGTTCTTAACATCAACGATTCGTTTGCCAAATTATGTGGGTAAACCATCATCAACGGTTTGTTTGCCAAATTACATGGGTGAGGTTTACTAACATCTTATTGAGCTTTTTACTCGAGTAAGAGATAAGTGTTTACCAAATTATGTGGGTGAGGTTTACTAATATCTTACTGTTGATCATGTCTCGGTCGAAATAAGAATTAGAAAGGTTTTTTGATCGAGTCAAATGTGAGTTTTCCATATTTACCTCTTCCTCATTCCTACCACCTCCTTTTTCATCCTTGGTTTCAGACAGGGGTGTAAATGATATTAGATAACTCGCAAGCTACTCGAGAACGACTCGGTCAACACTCGACTCTAATAGGCTCGGCTCAAACTCGAGCTCGACTTGACATATTAACAAGTCGAGTCAAGCTACCCAATACTCGACTCGAAAAGCTCGTAAGATACTCGATTATTTTATATATAAATGTATATCTTTCACAACACTTGGAAAGATATCTCTCAGAATGGATATCACCCAACTCTTAAATTGCCCACAAGACAATCCGCTTTAATGGATATCGCTCAAAGCTTTGAGCGATGTACATCTATATTGGATAACACTTGCTCGGTGTACTTTCAATACAAGACTTGAGCGATGAAAGACAAAAATCGCTCAACAAACAAGCGATTTAGAAGGATATCTTCCAACATAATTTTTCCAAGAGATAAATCAAAAACAAATCTGACAAGCCTTTAAAAAAGCTTTAATGAGTGATAATCAAGAATAAATCGGCCAATTAAGATATTCAATGAGTGATGAAGACAAACACATGCAACAATTTGAACATATTCAATCACAAACACAAAAATTCAATCAAATTGTTTGCAAATTGCATAAAAAGGCTCAAAATTAGTATTCAAACAAATTTTGGTATTGCAAATACTACCAAAAACAGATCAAAAAACACAATTTGATCAAGAAATTCAAGAACAGACTCAAGAACTTCAAAAAGTTTTTGAAGACTTCAGATTCAAAATCAGATTCAAATTCAATTCAATTGATGAATTGAATGATTCACACCAGTTTCAAAATGCAATACGATCAATTCCCAAACAATTTCAAATTACAATACACACAAAATATGAAGAATTTGGTTCAATTAACCAAAATAGAAAGTTCGAAGAAACAGGGTTGGAAATTGTTGATCATTTGTCTCATTGATTTGATGATAATCTCTTTTACCTTTCGAAGTATTATTGTTTCTATTTTTTCAGTTTCAGCGATCATTACTAAGTTTGTTCAGTGATCACTGAAACACGCATTGTAACCCTACAGCGACAGCGATACTTCAAGAAGACAAAACTCACACCAAAAAACCTTTAGTGAATGTCAAAGATTGAAACTGAAAATTAGTGACTAGTGTGTTCGTGATCTGAAGCAGTATTCAATGATTACAACCTGGTCAACATATGTGTGAAGACTACACAAGTCTTAGTGAAGGCTGAAGAGACCTCCAACGTTATTTCAACATTCAGCGGTCAAATGAAGCTTGCTATGCACGATTGTTTTTGTCTTGTCATTCCATACATAAAGAACAAACCCATATCCTTTCAAGAGTATAGTACTGCACGGAGCCGACTAGTCGACTCTAGTGTCCACCAACTCCACGAAAGAATGTATGCTCATGAATAGACAAATGTACTATTCACTGTTGCAAAGGACAAACTTTCCTCTTAAAGCTTGACGTAGAGTTGCATTTAATGCAATGGGTATAAATAGTTGAGTGCTCTGTCCATGCACTACACATCTATTTAGAGAACATATACGATTATCTTCAAGCAAGTCATAATTTCTCTCAAAAATTCTAAAGTTCTTACCCAAGAAGAACATCTTTCTGTCTTTACATTTTCGGAAAATCTCTAATATTTGCTAAGTATATTTGTGTGTAATCTTATATTGTTTTATATATGTTATCTTTACCTTTTCTATTTCCACAAACAATCTGCAAAAAATTGTATTGATTCTTCTATATCAATATATATATTTTTAAATACGAAAGTTTTCTGTGTTTGTATTCATCCCCCACCCCTTCTACAAACTGTTTCTCTAAAGTCTTGTAGACCCGGCTGGGACTAACAAGTGGTATCAGAGCAGTGTTTTCTTCTCGTCTTGTTTAGTTGTTTATCTGTATTTTTATTATCTCTTCTTACTCTAGATAATTTATTGCTTTAAAAATGGCTTTACAAAACACAAACACAAACTTTCACGATAATGGCTCTCTTGCCAAACCTCCCCGATTTATAAGAGACAACTTTAGTCTCTAGAAAAATCAGATGTCTCTTTTCTTGGAAGGTGTGGATCCTGAGATCCCACATTATATAGAGAATGGACCTTATGTTCCATACACTATATCTCTGGCTGTTCCTGAAACAGCTACGACTACCGCAATTCCTGAACGACAGATTCCTAAGCTCCCTCATCAATGGAGTGATTAAGACAAGAAGAAGGTGGCTATAGATACTCGAGCGAGATCTATAATAGACATGTCTCTTCCTGACGAGGTCTATCATTCTGTGATGAAGCTTGGGACCTCGAAATCCATGTGGGACACTCTTTGTGTTCAATATAAAGGTACTGCCCAAGCACAAGAATCGAGGAAGATTAATCTAGTAAGACAATATGAAAGCTTTCTCTGTGGAAAGAATGAAACATTGTCTGAAGTACATCAAAGATTTAATTTTCTTCTTATTGATTTGAGGACTGTTGGATGGGAATATTCCAATTTTGAAACTTTGACGAAGTTTATGGAATGTTTACCAGAATCTTGGGATACATATTTTATGTGTCTCAAAATGTCCAACGATATGTCATCCTTCTCTCTAAGTTCTCTCTACGGGATACTGCTTAATCATGACCAGTCTCGTCAACTAAAGATGAATCTCATTATAGATATCAAAGAAATGAAAAGCTCTTCTTAAGCTTTGATCTCTGAAGATTCTTCAGCTAATGTCCCATCTTGTTCTTCTATTCCTCTTACTTCTTCTGTTTCTTTGACAGAGTTAGATTCCATTAACTCTGAGGATTTGTTAGAGTCTGATCTTGCAGACTTTGATGAGTCACTGGCTCTTCTAACTAAGTCTTTTAGAAGATTTTCCAGAAAAACTAACTTCCTCAGATCTCCTTCGCTGACCATCAAGGATAAGCCAAAGTCAGATTCTATTGACAAGGCATCAACGATCTGCTACAACTGTCAATGCAAATGTCACTTTGCGAGTGAATGCAGGTCAAAGAAGATTGCAACGCCATCTTCAAAAACCTTATCCTTCTTCAGATCGAAAGACGATAATTATCTGAAGCTAAAGGAGAAGTACAAGCAGATGAAGATTTCTCAGCGAAAAGGAAAATGTCTTGTCGCTGAAGAACATGATTGGGCTGATTCGTCTGACGAATCATCCTCAGATGAGGAAGATTCGACCTATTTTTGTTTAATGGCCAAGGATGTCAAGGAAGAAACTTCTGAGACATCAACCTCTAGTGATCCCTCATCATACTCTCTTGCTCAGGTATGTTCCCTGAATGAACCCTCTTCTTTTTCTTCTGTCCCCTGATAGCCTATCAGCGTTCGATACATTGACGGTTGACCTTTAGAATGCCCTGAATGGCAAATCAAAAGTAGAAATGCTTAATCTTGATCTTCAAGAACAGTTGAAGATTTGTCATTCTAAGATAAAGAGCTGATTAAGATCGAAGAAGATCTTAAAGATCAGGTCATTGTAAACCAAACCATCACTATCGAGCATGAACATGCTATAGCTAAACGTGGGCAAGCTATTGCTAAACTCAAGGCTGAAAAGGCTACCATTGAAGGATGGTGCAAAGCCTCTGTCAAATCCTCTAAGATTATCAACGCTCAGATTCCTGCCAAGATTAACACTGGTCTAGGCTTTTCCTATGATCAGGAAGATAGTGTCACTGACAGGTTCATGCTTAAGTTTGGTACCTTCGTCTCTTCTATTCCTGACACTTCTTCCTCTCAGTATTCTATCAATGAGAGTCATCTTGAAGGAACTCCTTTGAGTTCAAGTCGCAAAGACAAAGGTAAGTCCATTGTCATCGCACCTCTTCCCAAGAAGGCTGATAAGTCACATAGATCAAGATCTATTCCTTCAGCATGTACACCTTCTTCTTCCGCAGGGATCAAGATATATGAATCTTCTAAGAAATCTAAGTCTAAGGTCAAGGTGAATGTTTCACCTAAGGACTCCAAATCCTTAGTTGTTCCTCCTTGAACAAATGAGAAGGGAATCCTTGGAGCTTGTCCTTATCTCCTTTGGTACTTTCTGGCCCTAAAGCTAGTTTCAGCTATACGAAGTGTAGACACTGTGGTGAAACTACACATATTGTTAGCAAGTGTCCTTCTGCCGCCAAGGCTGGTCCTCCAGCCAAGGGAAAGAACTAAAGTGAAGAAAACCACTAAAGCCTCTTCTTCAGTCTCAATGAAGACAACTAATGACTCTAAGTCTTCAGCGTCAGGTGTTGTTGTTCCTCTTACCACCAAAGCCTCTTCTTCAAGCTCAGTGAAGACACCTATTGACTCTATTCCTTCAGCGTCAGAGGTTGTTCCTAATCCCACTAAAGCCTCTTCTTCAGGTTCAGTGAAGCCTTCTTCTGACACTGAGTCTTCAGTTTCAGTGGATGTTGTCTCTAACACTGCTGGACCCAAATGAAAATGGGTACCAGAATTGTTCCCTTGTGCACAAAATCAGTCAAAGGCATTTGGTATCTCGATAGTGGATGCTCAAGACATATGACTAGAGACAAATCCCTGTTCATCGATTACAAGGATGAAAAAGGCCCTTCCATAACCTTTGGAGGAAACAAAAAAGGATATACCAAAGGTTTTGGTGTATTAACCAATGGTGCAACCACTTTCAGGCGTGTTGCATATGTTGAAGGACTGAAGCACAATC